AATATATGCATAGTTAATAATTATTTGTATTAAATAATAAAATAAAATTGACTTAAAATTGATATTATCAATTGTTAAAACATTTAGTTTTACTACCTGGATAATATTGAATAATATTTTGTGATAGAAGTTATGTTTCATATTAAAATTTAAATACATAAATTTTAATAAGGTTTTTTATATTTAAGGTCTTTAAAATTTTATTTTTAATACATTTAAATCTTAGTCTTATTTATAAACTACAAGTCAAGAGATTCACTTTTAACATATACATTTCAAATTCAAGTAGCACTTCGCTCCTAAGATTATTTTCTGGCTCCATTCCTAGGTGGAGAGAACCTTAGTGGTTGTATAGAACTTGAAGTCAAATTCTTTCTAGAATGCAGTTATTGCCTAATTAAATTACAACAATTTTGGTACATTTAATAATAAATTAAAAAATTAAAGGTACTAAAATTCTTAATTTTCAAACTTCTTTCCAGATAGAGACTTTAGCTCTGTAACATATATTACTTAATATAGTTGAAGTTTTTTATAGGGATGTCAACGAGTTCCATGGGTTGAAGAGTCCCACTTTATTTTTGTTCCTATCATTCACAAAGACAAAGATTCTCATGAGAATTTTAAATGGGAGACAAATTTTGCCTCCATCTCCATTTCCCATAAGGAATGGGATCCCCCAAATATCATCATTCCCCATCAATTAATATCAAAATATAAATTTTTTGCATATAATTAATTAATATTCAATTATAATAAATAAAATTTTAAAAATTCAAATATAATTAATTAAAATTCTTTAAATATAAATTATCCAAATATAAATAAAAATCAATTCAACATTAGAGATGTTAAGAGGGCCTGCAGAGTCGGAGAGTCCTTCCTCGTCCCTGTCCAGCAAATGGTATGGATAGGGATCTCCAAGGGGATTTTTAGCGAAGGCAAATTTTGCCTTCCATTCCCGTTCCCTGCTAATTAATATCAAAATATAAGTTTTTTACATATATTTAATTAATATTTAATTATAATGAAGAAAATTTTAAAAATTCAAATATAATTAACTAAAATTTTTTAAATATAAAATCAAATAGAAATTGCCCAAACATAAATAAAGATCAATTTAACATAAATAGTTAAAAGGTTAATGATGGGTTGGGTAAAATTTGATTAAATTTAATTTAAGTTGGATTAAATTTAATTTTGATTGAATTAGATTTA